ATTATCTTCGAGGAAACCAGTTCCTGGTGCCAAAAATGTTAGGGACTGCTGGTTTAGAGGATTGCTTCTACGTTCCTTTATCTGTGTTTCCCCCTGAAAACTGGTAGGTAGGTCTAGACTTGAGTTCAACCATTTTTATTGAAATATTTCACATATAGTTCCATATATTTCTTATGGCATCACTTTAAGAGACTCATAATTTCTAGTTGCTGAGATGCATTGGGTTCTGATGTTGACAACCTCATGCATCCATTATAAACTTCCCCTTTAACATTTCATCTTATGGTTTTAGCATGCACTGATGACCTCTGCGGAGATCCATCCTTTCATGAGGATGAGTGGTGTTTCCTATTTCTACCACTCCTTCTGAATTTAATACCTGAAATTTCTTTAATTAAAAAGAACATTCCTTCAGCTCTTTTTAGTTACATGAAATAGACTACATACAAACAAAAGCAGTATAAACACTGAAAATTATTCCCTTTCTCGGTGCTCAGAATGGAGAGTTGGTGCCGGAGCAATCTGTCACCGTCGCAAATCAGATGTTGTGTCTTAGCTTTTGGAAATTCCTGCTTTTAGAAATTCTTAAATATTTAATTTGTTTCTGTCTATTTGATGTGATGCTAAAATTGTCCCACCTTTGGTGTCTTCATGCCAGTTCCTAAAGTTTTTGTCCAGCTCTTGCAGGTCTTTGAAGGCCCTCAACTTTCTAGTCCTTCAAGATTCCCAGACTGATCTTGTGCATTGCTTTCCCAGAGCTGAAATCAACCATCTCTACAGGAATCTCTGGAACCTCTGCTGGGAAACGGTATTTCGAGGCCACCAGCTAGGCCCTCAGAGGGCAACTTTTACCAAGTTGCCATCGCTTCTGGGCTTTGTAGTGGTCATAGCTGTAAAGTAAAGATTTTCTGTAAAAAAGTTTTTTAAAAATTAAAAATACGAAAATAATTAGCTAGTACAAATTCATGCTTTCGATTCAAGTTTTGGACTCAGTGGGAGAAGAAGAGGGTGGGATGATTTGAGAGAATAGCATTGAAACATATACATTATCATATGCAAGACAGATGATCAGTGCAAGTTCAATTCAGGAAGCAGGGCACACAAGGCTGGTGCTCTGGGACAACCTAGAGGGGTAGGGTAGAGAAGGAGGTGTGAGTGGGGTTTAGGATGTGGGGGACACATGTATACCTGTGGCCGATTCAAGCTGATGCATGGCCAGAAAAAAAGACAGTGTTGTAATTATCCTCCTTAAAATAATTAATTTTAAAAAATTAAACATTAAAAATAAGGCTGCTGGGTTTTATCTAAGGTTTTGTGTTTTATACCTAAACCTCTTTTCTCTATTCACTGAAAGACTTGCTTCAGACAAAATTAGCATTAGTTGCTTACTTATCTGTATGTAAAACAATAAAAGCATAAAATAAATATGTAAATTAAATAAATAAATGATAATAAGTGAAATACATAAAAATAATACTTTCACAGTAACAGTCGCAATATCCCCAACAATAAGGTGTTGGATATAGTCTCAGATTTCTTTGCTTTTTAGTTTTTGGTTTTCTTTGGTTTTGTTTTGGATAGGGGCAATTTTTGGTTTTTTATCATTGTCCTTAGAAAATATCCCAATCTTAACATAGATTCAAAATGCTGCATTTTAAAGCCATTTAAGTAATTTTTTTTTTCTGTGCAGCAATGTCATCAGCTTGATACAATTAGGCTCATTTATTTTAGTTTGTTCTCAGTTTCCACAGATGTGCTTATTTATCTACTTTTTTATTTTGTAATGTGTTTTCATGGTTGCAAAGTCAAACTATAAAACAAACCAAAAAAAAAAATCACACTTCTGTCCCTGCCCCACACCCATAAATCACATCTTTTAGTAGTTTTTGGCTTTTTATTCAACTCTTTCTTATGGAAAATACACATATACATGTTATACAAGGAACAAACTATAAGCACTTTTCTGGTTCTTCATTTCTTAAAAATTAAACAGTGCACCCTAAACATCTCGCCCATCCCACTCCTCCATTCACATTAAACCCACTGGTTGGCATGCCCTGTACCTTACTCACTGTTGCCCCAGCAGATCTCGTCCAGTGTGTTTCTAATCTTTTGCTTTTACAAGCAATGTGGCGGTAAATAAGTATTTATTATAAGTGCATATGGCTTCTTTGGGCTTCACTGACAGCTCAGCAGTTAAGAAGCCGCCTGCCAATGCCCAAGACACGGTTTCAATCTCTGGGTCAAGATGATCCCCTAGAAGAGGAAATGGCAACCCACTCAAGTATTCTTCCCTGGGAAATCCCAAAGACAGAGGAGCCTGGCACACCAAAGTCCACAGGGTCAATAAAGAATTGGACATAAGTCAGCAACTAAAACAACAACAAATGATTTGCTGTATTTTTCCCAAGGTATCTTACAGATAGATTCCCTAGAAGTAGAATTGTTGAGTTAAAGGACATACATGTATGTCATTTGTTTGATGCTTTCAAATACCCTCTGTTGAGACTGAACCACAGAAACTGAATTTAAACAATGTGCAAAAGTGAGGGATAAGACCCAGTGCCCCAAAACTATATCCTCCTGGTGACCAGGCCAGGCTTCCATTTGTCCTAACCAGAGGACAGGCCTGGATAGATCTCATGCAGGAAAATCCAGGCCCTGGGAATCCTGGGAGGAGCCATAAAACTCTAATGTCTTTACTTGGGCTAGAAAAAGTTTAACAGGTAGCCCTGGTCCTCTCAGGCAAATGAGGAGCTCTCAGTAGTTTTCTTTCTCCTCTTTGATTGATAAAACACTTTAAAATTATTTCTTTCTGTGTTTGGATGGGGGGACAAAATGTTTTGTGGTGTGGACCCTATTGGGGAATTATATCAGAATTCTATCCATTTGTCCTCAGTAAATGGACATTATTAAATTCCTTGGTTTATTTGACCCTGAACAAAGCTAGGGGAGGTTGATGGAATTCCAGTTGAGCTATTTCAAATCCTAAAAGATGATACTGTTAAAGTGCTTCACTCAATATGCCAGCAAATTTGGGAAACTCAGCAGTGACCACAGGACTGGAAAAGGTCAGTTTTCATTTCAATCCCAAAGAAGGGCAATGCCAAAGAATGTTCAAACTACTACACAATTGCATCCATTTCAACTGCTAGCAAGGTAATGCTCAAAATCCTTCAAGGTAGGCTTCAACAATATGTGAAGCAAAAAATTCTAGATGTACAAGCTGGATTTAGAAATTGATTTTGAATTAGAGATCAAATTGCCAACATCCACTGGATCATAGAAAAAGCAAGGGAATTTTTTTTTAATCTGATTCTGCATCATTGACTATGCTAAAGCCTTTGACTATGTGGATCAGAACAAATTGTGGAAAATTCTTAAAGAGATAGGAATACTAGACCACTTTATATGCCTCCTGAAAAACTTGTATGCAGGTCAAGAAGCAACAGTTAGAACCAGACATGGAACAATGGACTGGTTCAAAATTGGGAAAGGAATATGTCAAGACTGTATATTACCACTCTGTTTATTTAGCTTCTATGCAGAGAACATCGTGCAAAATGCTGGGCTGGATGACTCACAAGCTGGAATCAAGATTTCTGGGAGAAATATCAACAACCTCAGATATACAGATGATACCACACTAATGGCAGAAAGCAAAGAAGAGCTAAAGAGCCTCTTGATGAAAATGAAAAAGGAGAGTGAAAAGGCTGGCTTAAAACTCAACATTCAAAGAACCAAGATCATGGCATCCAGTCCCATATTTCATGGCAAATAGATGGTAGGAAAGTGGAAACAGTGACAGATTTTATTTTCTTGGGCTCCAAAATCATTGTGGATGATTACTGCAGCCATGAAATTAAAAGAAGCTTGCTCCTTGGAAGAAAAGCTATGACCAAGCTAGACAGCATATTAAAAAGCAGAGACATCACTTTGCCTGCAAAGGTCTATCTAGTCAAGGCTATGGCTTTTCCAGTAGTCATGTACAGATATGAGAGTTTGACCATAAAGAAGCCTGAGCACTGAAGAATTGATGCTTTCAAACATTTGGTGCTGGAGAAGAGTCTTGAGAGTCATTTGGACAGCGAGGAGATCATACAAGTGAATCCTAAAGGAAACCAACCCTGAATATTCTTTGGAAAGACTGATGCTGAAGCTGAAGATCCAATACTTTGTCCACCTGATGCGAAGAGCTGACTCATTGGAAAAGACCCTCATGCTTGATCGTATTGAGGGCAAGAGGAGAAGGGGGTGACAGAGTATGAGATGGTTAGATGGTATTATTGACTCAATGGACATGAGTTTGTGCAAAATCAGGCAGATTGTGAAGGACAGTGAAGCCTGGCATTCATGGGTCACAAGGAGTCAGACACAACTTAGTAACTGAACAACAACAGCAACAACGTTCTTTACAAATGGAAGAAAAACTAGCATGGGTAATATGTGTTCAGTCTCTTATTCAATCAACCAACTTGAATTGAATCTCCTCTCTGTGCCCACTGTTCTCCCAACTCTAAGCCAGAAATAAAAACCTGCAGAGACTAAAGGCTGAATTCAGCACACAGTTGTTGGAGATTTGGCTCGCACTGTGTTTTTTTAAAAAAAGACAAAAGAAAACGTTAGTTGATAAGATTTAAAACCAGGAGATTTTATGTAAATATCAGGACTTCTGACTGAGAATGCACAGCATTCTGCAGCAGTGTTTTGTCTCCAAGTTGGCAAGAGTCTCCCTACTTAGTTCCGTTTGGTTTTTCAGCCAAGCCACAAGGAAGAGATTACAGTAGAAACACTGTATTCTGAGAACTTTCCAAGTCCATATCACATGGACATGATGGAAGATAAAGTTTTATCGAGAGTTAAGTATTTCTTATCAGATCCATTAGTGGCCTGAAGGGGAAAATTAGGGCATGTCAGAGCATATATAACGAGGAATTACTGGTCACTGCTGCATGCTCAGAACTTGATCTTCCCTGAGTACTTGGAGCCAGGAAAGAAGCATGAGGTGGCTTGGGCTCCTCGGGCTGGTGGCCCTCTCAGAGTGCGTAATGATGTAAGTACGTGGACTATAAGTGGCATCATCTCTCTTTCTGGGATGTTTTTCTTCTTGTCCTTTTATTCTTCCATCCAGTTAGGGTGAGAAGGGAATATAAACATTCCCTGAAAGTCCTAAAAGTTCTACTCTCACTTATTGATGAGGACCTTGCCAATGGCACCAGGGGCCCAAGGGTCTTGGGGTCGGCCTGCAGGATTGCACAACTCAGGGAGTGCAGTCACATGGTGACCTCTGTGAAAATGGCACTCCTTGGAATTGTTCAGTGCACAACCTGTGCAACTGTAGGTGTGGTCCTGTGGAATAGCATTTCTCTTGCATTTGCTTCTAAGTCTTCTCTCTTCTGTCTCTCCAGTTCTGTGTGTACATGTCTTATCTGTGTGTCTGATCTTCCATCTCTCCAATTCTTTGGATGTCTCTGTGTGTGGAGAACTCTGAATTTTTTTTTCCTATTCTGATTCTTCTTTGCTTCTCTAGCACCGTAATTTCCCTAATTTATTCCCCATCCCCTGGCTTCCTCTCTCACTCCTCTCTTCTGCTTGAGCCCCAGAGGAAGATCAGGAGAGCTACCTCTAGGCTGTTTTACCTCTAACAAGCAGGGTGACCACAGCCAAGTTACAAACTCCCTGAATTTCAAATTGCTCCCTTGTAAAAAGGGGATGAGAATCCTTCTTCTACCTCCCTCCCTAGAGCTTCTTTGAGAAAAATACAGTGAGATGGTAACAGCAATGGTAATGGCTGTCATTGTTGAGACTTCCTGTGTTTTTTTATCAGGTACATTATATCCATCATTTCACTTAAGAACCAAACATTCTATGTGGGAGTGTGGGGATTATTATATTGCACATTTTTAACTGTTGGGGAAACTGAGGCTCCAAATGGTCATAAAAATCCCTGGAAAGCACACAGTGCCGTCACAAAGCCAAGTATGACAGTCACACTCACACGTTCAGCTGACTACTGCCCTTCTTTGTTCCCTTTTCACCATGCTCGGTGAAAGAATCCCTCTAACAAAGACGAAGACCATGCAAAGAAACTTCCAGAAAAAATACTTGCTGAAAAATTCCCAGAGGGAACACGCTTACAGGAGACTGTCCCAGGAGTCTAGTCTTGATCCAGATTTCTCTTATCTACAGAGGAATCCCCTGCATGCGAGTGTATTGAGAATGGCACTCCACAGCGCCCCCTGGTGCTCTGGCCTAGCACTGGGGCTCATCTGGAGGTGCCAGGTGGGATGTTGGGGCTGGGGCTCCTGCAGGAGGCAGAAACACTGGGGGAACAGGGGCCCCATTCCCAGAGGAGAAGGCATTCTCATCCTCAACTCTTGGTCTGTGGTGACCGGGCCCAACAATGACCAGGTGGAGGTTAACATCCATTTCTGTGCCAAAGTTGAGCCATTAGTTTGAGGGAGATTGTTCTTTCTGAACCCACTGTGTCATTGAGTTTCATCTGAAGGGTGAACCATGCATGATCAAAACGTAAATTCAACTGTAAATCAAGTGTGAAAGTGTAGGCAGGGGAAGTTCAGCCTCCAGATCCAAGAATGACAACAGTAAAATGATACTGAGCCCCGGCGCTAGTAGTAAAGAACCCGCCTGCCAGTGCAAGAGAGAAAAGAGACGCAGGTTCCATCTCTGGGTGGGGAAGATCCCCTGGCAGAAGGTATGGCAACCCACTCCAGTATTCTTGCCTGGAGAATCCATGGACAGAGGAGCCTGGCAGGCTACAGTCCATGGGGTTGCAAAGAGTCAGACACAACTGGAACACATTTGTACACATATGGCACATGACACCATAGAAGTCTAGCAATATAGTTATTGTTCTTGATTAGAAAAACGTCTCCTATCTTCTTCCAGAATGCACAGGCCACCCTGAGAGATAGACAAAGAGTAAATAGACGTCAAGTGAAAGGGCCACCTGCATCGTGTTAATAGGATATGGTCTTGGTTTGGAGAAACTGGCCCAGAGTGACCTGGACAAAGGGCCTCCTGAGCAAGGCGGTGTTCATGCTGGTTATGAAGAGGGGACTGGAGAGCTTCTCAGACGAAGGCCCCAGTCTGAGCAGAGGCTGTGAGATGCGGGGTTGAAAACTGATTTTAGAAGCTATAGGAAACCCAGCAGGAGGCGGTACTCCAGGAATCAGGGGTGGCCAGCCAGCCAGTTCTGCCCTTACCCCAAGCCCCTGACCCTGGTAGTTCACCTACATCGGCAACATCACCATTGGAATGCCCAGTCAAGAGTTCCGGTTCATGTGTGACACCGGCTCATCGGCCTTCTGGGTGTCCTCCATTTATTGTCAAAGTCCCTCCTGCTGTGAGTATATCTGCCCTCCCACCCATTTTGTCCTCCCCCTCCCCTTCTTCTCCATCCTTGGCACCTGAAGCTCACTCATCTCTTTTTTCTCCAGCTAGACAAATTCGCTTCAACCCTAAAGTATCCACCACTTTCCGCTCCTCAAACCAGCAATTCAAATTCATCCACAGATCTTGGTGGATGGAGGGAGTTCTTGGCTTTGACACCATCCAGGTAATGTGGAAAACAAGGAGCTGAGTCAGGACTGCCCTTCAGAGTGACCACTGCTTACAAAACAGATGCCGGACCAGTTGGCAGGGCCCTTCCTCCCAAAAGGCCCCTAGAGTCTGGCCATCTGCCCCTCAGGACACTGTCCCTGGGGAAACAGAGCCCCTGCTGAACACAAACTCCCAGAATGGCCAACCCAGAGAGTGGCCTGCGGTTGTGGACTTGCCTGTGAGCATTCAAGTTTCATTTTGCTGAGAGCAGAGAGAAGGGAGATAAAAGCAGCCACTTTTATTCTCAGACGTTACTGGGCACTTCATGGTAATAACTTGCTTAATCCGGCAACATCCCCAGCAGCAGGTACTGTGATTAGCTCCATGATACAGGTAAGGAAACTGAGGCACAGAGTGAGGGCCTTGCCAAGGTCACACATCTGGTAAGCAGTGGAGCTGGGCTGGCCCGTCAGGACTCAGGCAGGTGTGTGTGTGTGTGGGAAAAGTATAAAACTGATCTGGAGCCCTTAGGAGCATCCAGGCAGGGAAAGCAGGGGGCCACACATGTGGGAGGGGCCTGATAAATGAGTGTTCACTCTAGGGGGCCACTGAGAGTCTAATCAAAACTATGGCCTGCCTCCCGCAAAGTGCCTGATGTTTTGTCTATCTATCCCTCCTTCCTCTCTCACTCTCTCTCTCTCACAGGCACACACACCTCCAAAAGACCATCTCTGAAACACAATTTTCATCAGAACCCTGCCAGCCACCTTGTATAATGGGCTTCTGTCTTTCTGGGCAGACGTTGAATCCACAATACATGACAATGAATTCAGTCCATTTCTGTCACCAGATCATAGTGACGCCAAAGATGAGACTACTCTACTCTCTTGGAGAAGGAAATGGCAACCCGTTCCAGTATTCTTGCCTAGAAAATCCCATGGACAGAGGAGCCTGGTGGGCTACAGTTCACGAGACACAACCAAGCACACCCTGCTGTCTACTCATTTTGTCCACAAGGGGGCACCATTGGGTCCTGTCCCGAGTCTCTCTTGCCCCACCTGGACAGAAGGCATGAGGCCAATTTGACTGACTCAGATGGTGTTTTTCAGGGGAGCAGATGTTTTAAAATCCACAGCCCCACACAAATGGAACCCAAATTCCTGTCCCAGCTTAGTCCAACCGTCTCAGGTCCATACATGGCAGTTCTTCTCTGCAGTGCTAATGGCATCTGTACCCCAGCCCAGACCCAGACCCAGTTCCCAAACCTTTCCGTGGGTACCATGTCCTCTCCCACAGATCGGAGTCTTTGTAGTGGTAAACCAGAGCTTTGGCCTGAGCCAGAAGCAGCACAACGCACTCATGGAACATACACCTTATGATGGCATCCTGGGCTTGGGCTGCTCTAACTTTACCATCGGAGGGATCATTGCTGTCTTTGACAACCTGAAGAAATGAGGAGTCACTTGCCAACCAGTCTTTGCCTTCTACTTCAGCAGGTAAGTCTGAGCTGGACAAGGCCTCTCTCCAAATTAGCTGTAAGATGCTTGGCTTGCAGCTGCATGAAAAATTATAGACCACCCCATCCGGAAGTTTCTTGAAGCCTCCTCAGAAGGCTGGGTGGTTAAAGCCCAATCTAGCCTAGGAGAACTACTAACCCAGGGACCCACCTGGCCCCATTACTGCTTTTTCCAATAAATTTTGGGGGGAACACAACTATGCTCATGGACTCAAGGGGAGCAGTTAGGTCTAGCAGAGGAAATAAGGAGCACAACGGAAGATGTCAGCAAACAGATTGAAGGAGAAGGCAGCAGTATTTGCTGATGGATTTGATATGGAAGGAAGGAGGGGGATGGCGGAAATATTTCCTTCCTCACTAACATTTCACTGGGAGCCCATGACCGGCTACACAATATGCTGGAGCCAGTGCAAAATAAAACCATGGGACCCCCTTGTTCAAAATGTATTAGGAATTTCCCGACAGGGAGAACAGAGGTGTGGACCCTGCTGAGTGTGGGACCCCATGGAAAACGCTGGTCACAAGCAGGTGAAGCCAAACCTGGGTGAGTCTGAACCCATGCCCTTACTGCCCTGGGGCCTTGGGTTTTCTCAAAAAAACAAAAACAAAAAAACAGGCTAGACAAGGGAGGATACTAGACCCCTCCAGCATGGTGTCTCTGAGGACATTTCTAAAAACGCATGTCACTGGCAGGGACCAGACCCTCCTCAGAAGGCTGGGTGGTTAAAGCCCAGCCTCGCTGCCCAGCTTCCAACTTCTTCTGTGGCACTCATCTGATGGTTACTGACCTGAATCAGGTACTCGAGCCCTCTGAGCCTCAGTTTCCACATCTGTAAAATGAGGACCGTAGTAGTGCCTCTGATGGGCGCTACTACCAGACAGAGCCTGGTGTCACTGTCCTCCAATGGGGCCCCTCTTTCCTTCCCTCATCAGGGAGAAGGAGGATGGCAGCACAGTGATGTTTGGCAGGGTGG